AATGCAGTGGATACTGCCACACTAGTGGAGTACTGAACCTACTTTTCTTCATTGCTTTTTCTTAATGTCGTGGAGTGAAGGAACCAAAATGCAGTGGATGATGGGAAATTTACTACTTGAAACTCATTCCTCTTTGGTCTTGTCCAGGTGAAGATAAAAACTTTTTTGCACGACTTTATTTTCTGTATTTTTGTACATTCTTGCGATCGTTTTCTGTCAGAAACTTGTCTTGTTTTCGATCATGGATGACTTTGTGGTTTCTGTGATGTATTACGATGATTAGGAGCTTTTTAAGGTTACAGTTGGATTTCTTGTTCTGAACTAATTACAATCTAACAGTGGAGAAGCCCCATTATGGAAGATTAAGTTTAATTCTGAGTAACAGAGAGTCTACCATGTGATGCAACCTCCATGTGTTTGTGCCTTGCCAACAAAATCCATCAAGGGGTTGGAGGAACATGTACCTATTGTGTTTCTGGTTTGCTTGTATTTCTGGGTGCCCTTTTTCCCTCACTTTCGTTACAAATTTCAAATGTTTAAGTGAAATAATCTTTGATCCAGAGACAATTAACTGATGATTTCGTAATCAGTAAACTAGCATAATTTAAAGGGGGAATCTCACACTGTACCCCTAAAAAAATGTAATATTTTTTTCAAAGATTATATTTTTAACGTTGTATTCTCAGTATATTAAAAGTATCTCAATGTGATACTTCCCTTAGTTTTCATTACATATTCTTTCAAAAACCACCCTATTAACATAAGGGTCATACTATAATACTTTTAATACATTGATGATATAATATGATAAATTTAATTTTTAAAGGTATAAATTTTTTTTTTTAAACTTTTAAGGTACAAAATGTAGTTTACTCTAATCTAAAGTAGGGGTGCAACTTGGGCCGGCCAACCCGAGTTCAACCCCAAAAAAACAGAGCTTGAGTTAGAATTTTTAATATTTAGGTTGGGCGGGGCAAAAAGACTGCAACCCGAATTGAATTCAGGCAAGTCTTGGGTTGAGGCCTCAGGTTATCGGGTTCAACTCGAATATTAAATCGGGTTAAACTCGAATATACATAAATATATAAATATATTTAATTAAGGTTAATATTTATCTTCACTCTTCAAAATTTAGACTTTCACTTCACTTCAAGTCTTTACTCTTGCGTCTCTATCACTCTCATATCCCTTTCTCACTCATCACTCGTCTCTCATTTGATCTCAGACTCTTGGCCTCCCTCTCTCCCTCGTTTGAGTCTCGTCTTAGACTCTCAGCCTACTCTCACTCATCATTTCTCGCTCTTTTATCAATCCGAATTAAGTAACTCGAGTTCAACTCGATTTTTAACTCGAAATTAGTTTGAATTAAATAATTCGAAGTCAATCTGAACCGCACCTGAATTAAACTACGGCAGTATTAGGGTTAAGTACCTCAAGTTGAGGTTGGGTTAAAATTAGGGTTAAGATTAAAGTTAAAAATTATATGCCTAAAATTAGAAAAGGGTTTAGACTCCTAATCAAAAGAGAGGGGGGTGGTTTTGGACATTGGGTCGATCCGGCCTAAATATATATATATATTTGGGCAACCCCTACCCATCCTAACCAACAATAGCTGGGATCTTAGACCAAACCAACCCATGCGAAAATTAGAAGAGGAGAAAGAGAGAGGGGAGGGAATTATTCAGAAGAGGAAAGAGAAAGCGGAAAATGATGACGATGATGCTCTGAAACAAACCCTCAGCCTGATATAAACGAGGTTCAGGTAAATCTCAAATGGCTACTTATATCTTCGATTATTTTTTTTCTCTCCCTTAATTGGGCGACTATTACTTTGTCTTTGTGGAGAAGAAAATCTAAATTCAGTGTATTTTCATGCATATATGCTTATAAATGATATTTCATAAAACGGTGAAACTTGTCGTTCAAAACAGATTTTCATGCTAAATCTTAATAACCCAATTTGTATGGCATGTTTGTACTTTAGGGTTTTTCAAATTTCACTTTAAATTAATCGGGAAAATTGGTAAAGATAGGACCCGTTTGAACCATTGTGTTGTTGATGCATTTGAAACTATATGGTTTTACTGTCAAACTTCAGCACTTGAAGAGTTGATGTACGATGCTGTTGAGCATTATTTCTTAAGGCATTTGCAGTTCTTCCAAAATCCAAAATAATTTACCTTACCGGAATGTATTAGTTTATTAGTCATTTACCTTATCATCATCCTTATCGAAAATACAAGTTTTTAGGGCCTCTGTTATGGGTAAGTTTTATATTCGGAATTTTGCAAAAAACAGTGCTATTTGACTGCCAAAGGGGAATTAAGCCAAGCAAAATGAGAAAAAGGAAAGAAGAAAATTGATGGGGTTAAGAGGTACTAGAATGGGAAGCCAATGGCAAATCAAACTTTTTTTGGGGGGATAGGTTTGAAGAAGAAGAACTGTGATGTTGTGATAAATTGTGAGTCAAAGTTGCTTCGACAAAGAACCAATTCGCGAAGTAAACATTAGCTGATATATTCAGTGGAGATCTGAAACCTTAGATGGTATTTTTGTTTGAGTATTGAAGCAAAAAGGCATGTTTGGTGCAATTACCTGTAAAATGCTTGCAATAGTAAAAATTTCCGTGATTCAATTGATTTCCATAGAAGATAGCATTGTGTAATCTGTACTTTAATTAGATATTTCAATGAACTGTGGATGCATTCATTTTTCTATTTTTCTTTTTTCGATGCTTTTATTTTTCTATTTTCCAATTATGTGGTGTTTGAACTTTATCAAGAGATCCAAACATCTATTATAAGGTCTAACCTATAAACAAAAAACTTGAAGGTGGTGTCCTGTTTGGTATTTTTATTTATGCTGTGTAGAGCGAATTGATTGACAGATGTCCAACCTTTGGTCAGAATGTAGAAGTCTTTTGCTTGTTAAAAGTCAAGGCTTTGATTGCATGGTCAAATGTGCTATAATTGGCACCAAGGCCTTACCATGAACATTCTCCATTTCATTTTAGCAAGGCTTGTAAATATTTATTGCTGAAGATAATGTGGGACTAACATTATGGAGACTAATCATCTGAAGTGCACTGGACCAAGTCCTACTCTTAAGAGTTCTTATGAGCAAAGTCCTAGCCATGAGTGGTGTTATACACTTAATACTCACCATTGCATTGCTAAAATCCTAAGGCAAGAATCATCGGAAAATGGAAAAACCCAAAGCCATTGTACACACATACTATTTGATTTCTGGTGCTAATTTCTTGGACTGGATTTAGAAAAGCTTAGATTAAATTTCATTTGTTGATTCTTTCCTTGGTGGTACTCCTGTTGACCTGCTATTTAAGCAGCGCAAGGATGCCTCAATAGGTTATAAGATACCTTTTCTGTTGCTTCTACATTGTTTTTTGTGTGTTTTTGTGTCTTACTTTACTTTAATGTGTATTTGTTTTTTTTTTTTTTTTTTTGAGTTTGGGGTGAGATTGTGGGATAGGCTGTGTTTTGTTAGATTTAAGTTTGTGCAACTTTTTCCCTCATTAATTATCAGTAACTGTTGCTGCAATTGCTAATTCATGAATCTGGTTTACTGTCAGCAGAAGCAACAATACAATGGAATTGGCAGACAGAGCTGTTGGTTTTCTTTTATCATTCATAAGCTTGTCCATTTTCACTTATTATACCTTCTGGGTCATCATCCTGGTCAGTTGTCTTCCACCCAATTTGGATTATACCCCTTTTCGAACTTGGTCTAATGTGTTGGTTAACTATTACTTCAATGCCATTTCAGCCATTTGTTGACAGTGATCATTTTGTGCATAAATACTTTCTACCTCAAGAATTTGCCATCCTCATTCCTGTTTTTGCCGGTGTGGTGCTTCTCTGCTTCTTGTGTATGTTTATTGGATATGTGATGCTCAAATCCAAGAAGAAGAAGAAGGTGTGATGCAAGTACTTTCCGTGGTTTTCATCAGTCTGAGGTGTTTTGGAATTTCTCATCTGTGCTTCACAGAATGTTTGATCTGAATATCTTTTAGTTTTCAAATTTCAACAGCTTATAAGATGCTTTTCATTGTCTCTAGTACAATTGTGGCCCTTTTAAGCCTTTTAACTTATTTAGACAGTTCTAGTTGGTTTAAATAAAAGTTACCATGCATTTTTGCTAGTAGTCATTTGTATCAGCTATCACAAAGGTGTTCATTTACGCAATATGACTATCAGATGAGGATTGGTATGTCATTGGGCTTTGTGACTTTTCAATGTAGCAACTTCTCATACTTTATTTTGGTAATGAATTCCTTTAATGAGATATAGGAACATTTTACGAGATATTGCATTGACACTCGATGAAGCACATGGCTTGACCACCAGCACATGCAATTCAAATTGGCTCTACATCTTGGCTAGCCATGCTTGATAACTCACAAGTTGCTTAATTCAAGCTTGACCGATGAAGGAGCTCTTACCAGTGACTTCACCAACTCTTGTTGAATGGTTGGGTAAGGTGTCTCGTAGAAATTTAATCTCTTTTTTGAAGAACTTTTCTTGATCACTAACTCTGGGATTGATTGACGGGAAATAAAAGGAGGAAAGGGAAAATTGTTTTCCTTCCGCTTGGTTATTTGTTATGCGCCATAGTGATTTTCTTGCAGGAAAATTTATATCTTGTTCTACATTCTGCACAGCATTTTGCAGCTCAAGGAAGTTTGAGGATTACTATCCGTTAACTTTCTTTTAAACCGAATACACAGGAAAACTTTCTTTTACCAACGGGCCTTTAATCCAATAATATTCTTTATTTTGTAAAAATTTTGTCTTTTTGAGGTCAAGGGTTCAAGTTCACCTCTAAAAAATAAAAAAAAATACACAGGAGGAAAGTTTTCTTTGTTTTCCTTATCTTTTCCTTCAATTCAATTTTCTTTTTTTGCATAAGATGATGGGCTACATATGAAATTTAGATTCCGAGAATGAAGTGGGGACAAGTCAATGATACCGAAATTTTTTTTGGTTATGGTTATGCATTTATCACTTTTGTGGATTTGATTACTTTTATGATACTTGCTACTTGCGATCATTTGCAAGTATCACAAAAGTGGTAAAAATATTCACAAAAGTGATAAATCACTCATCGGTTGTAAATATTTTTTTTTTTTTGGTTGTAAAATGATATATAAGTCATAAAAATATTCATTAAAATAGTAAAAATTGAAGGTATAATACCAATTTTTTTTTTGGGTACCTTGGTGGAAGTGGATATGGAAGTTGAAATGGTCAACATGTTAAATGACTAGGCTTTCGGACAAAACTTGAACACAATGTATATGGCTCAAGTTTAATTTAAGGTTAAACCATAGGATTCAATAGTTTTTCAAGGAAGGCTTGCTATCGAATTGACAACCCTGGTTAGTCGGATCTAATATGTGTAAATGGGTTTCTCACCCGAATGACGGCGAGTGATGTACAGTTGAGATAAATTAATAGAAAGTGTACTGAATATGATTTGAAACTCGATATAATTGGTTAATAATTAAAAATTGAATCGAGAATTATCTAAATAAACATACAACAGATCTTCCCAATTTTTTATTTTTTTTTAAAATTGATTTTTAAGTAATGGGATATGATTTGTATGCATCTCGGGAAGTTGTGAATTGAAATTTGTCTTTGGAGGTTGATCCACATGGTCCCGCAGATATTGCAATAAAAAATTATAAATATTCTCTTATTTGAACTTAAATCTCTTTTAATACATTTTTTTTTTAATTTTTTTCTTAGTGGATTATCCATTATTAATGAGTAAGAGATTCATTTATATATAATGAGTCCTACTTAAGCACATAATAAGTAATCCGTCCAAAAAAAAATTGAAGTGAAAGTATATTTTAGGGGATTTTAATCATTCCTTCTACAAAACTTTGTAACTGTAAGTAAAGTATAGATATTCGATAAAGTATATTCAAAATTTGAACGTACCACCCTATGTGTTCATAAAAAAAAAAAACCATTTGATTTATATGCAAATTTTAAAATGAGTACGTGATGAAAGAAGAAATAAAATGATTTGGAGTGAGTATATTCGTAAAATGGTAAAAAGACCGTGAAAGAAGGACAAATAAAGAGAAAATGGAGTTAGTTTGAACATATTTTTAGAATAGTGAACTAATACAGTGAATGGTAGGTAGAATTAGATCAAGATTAACAGTAATGAGATTTATTGAAAAAAAATGATATGATAACTACCGATGAACCTGAATATATACATGTTTTTACATATACAATAACAACACAGGATGCATATAGCAAATCAAGTTGGGACACGATTTGCTGTGTTGTTGAGATTTAAAGCACACAGAATGATCCAATTCCATTGAATATAGATCCTTCAGATAATTTTGAGAAATAATGGGTAAACAGTATTGTTACCAAACCCAAAGAAGTAAAGCTGCCTGAGATTTTTCATATTTTAACATAGTTTTGTTGGCTGGACCAATAACCATATTTAACCACAGAGACTGGCAAAAAACTTTATATACTCTGTCAGCCATGGAAATAGAAGAGAGAGAGATAGAAGGGGGGGTGGGGGAGACCAAAAGTTAGCAAAAGTAGTGCTTTTATTAGAGCAGAAGGGAAATGTCAAACAAAAGGATGTTCTTCACCAAGATATCCAATTACCCTGTTTAAACATAGGTACATAGATCAATTCGAAAAACTTGGTATATATATTATGAAAAGAAAGCCTCAATTTCAAGCCAAGGAGAAGGGATTAGGGGCTAATGACTCAGTTGTTGCATCCTTACAGATGGGAGAAATGGTTGATGGGCAAGTTGAATCAGCTCTGCATTGTCAAAGTAAAGTTCTGCACTGTGCAGCACATATGGATCTAACCATCGGCTGGCAAACTATTTCATCAGCAATGCCTGACCTGCAACAAACGAATACACAGAGTTGGTGATTCAGGACAATCAAGTCTTGCTTTATACCTTAAAACATCGAATAACTCACGAATGGCCTGGGAATCACAAGTGATACCCCCCCTAAACACAGTGGAAAAAATTTTACACCATCGTCGTACTCATTGCCCAAAAGCTAGCTCCTTCATATAATTCTGACCAAAGACATTAACGTTTGGGCAGATGAGTAATTACTATCATCCCAAGTCCAAAAAATTTTGTACTCTCCTATATCAAATTTCAACGCAAGAGATTGCTGTGTTGCACAATGTTTATGCAGCCATCTACCCAACTTGGTATGTAAGAATGACAAGTCCAAAGCGCCAAAAACATTAATGAAAGCTGTGCGTTTACAAAGTGATGAAGGATAACAAGTAACCATCATTTTTGGTTCTTATTTTGACCATTTGTGTCCTCGTAAACAAATTTATACCCAGTTTTTTCCTCTCCCTTGACCTTGTCTTAGCATGTGGTCGGCTCATTGATGTGCTATCTGGTAGAAATAACCAATATCCTACCCTTCAAAAAGGAGGGTTCAGAACAAGATGGTCATGGTCAGTAGTGTTTGTGCCATTTAGTTAGGACCTCTAAATCACACAGATCCATGTTCATCAACACAAGTTGTGACATAATTTCTTTGCATAACACAACTGATCATAAATCTGTCTGCATTTTTACCCCTTCAAATAATGCATTCTAGACTCAAACTAGACAAGCTAAGCAGTTCATCATTCTTCTTTTAAGTGCAGGGCCTCCATAGATTGTTTGACAGCTGGGATTTTGATTCTTCAAAATGCAAGAAGATACCATCTATGAATTTAGTAGGTCATGCCTCTCGGATATTGGAGTTCATTGAAGACCTACCCACCTTGGATTGAATGGTTAAATCCTAAATGTCAATCACTCAAAGATCAATAATGATCCTACTCACGTCAAGCATTGTCGCTTTACACTAAAAGGCAAGAACTATGATCACATCTAATACACTTTTACTGAATTCAATGACGACCCATTATCTCCTGACCAAAAACAAAATGACGACCCATTATCCACAAGTGGGTCCCCACCAAGTGATCTACCACTAAATGGAACATAGAAAAGCAATAGTAGAGGATTCCAATCCGAAAAACTAGACATCAGTATAAACAACCCATCCCTATGTCAAGAATTAGGATATCTCCAGTACACTTTTACTAAATTTAACAACGACCATTATCCAGAAGTGGGTCCCAAACAAGTGTTCTAGCACTGAATGGAACATAGAAAAGGGAATTGTATAGACACCCAACTATGTTCAGATCTACTTCTAGCAATTTTTCAATAGATCCACAAGATTGGTTTACCAAAATCTCATATAAAGACAGTGCCAATAGAAAATGCAACAAATTGGAAACAGAAACAAAATTCAGAGCAAGACATACCTGACAAACTCATTCCCTAAATTCAAGCCCATGAATTGTCAAAAGCAGCCGAAGTGATCGCCTGAGAGAACTCCTGAAAACTAATCCTCCCATCTCCATCCGTATCAGCCTCCTTGATCATTCCGGTGAGCTCCTCCGCCGTCAAAGCGTGGCCCAACTTCGCCATCGAGTGAGCCAACTCCGCCGCCGTGATAAACCCATTTCCATCTCTATCAAACATCCTGAACAACTGCTTTAATTGCTCCTCCGTGTAGGGCGATTTCGCCTCGAGAAGTTCCGGCGCCACCAGTGCCACGAACTCCGAGAACTCGATTAGGCCGTTGCTATTCTTGTCTGCTTTTTGTATCAGTGTTTCGAGCTGATCGGGGCTTGGTTTTAGGCCGAGGGAGCGTAGTAAGGAGCCGAGTTCGAGTTGGGTTAGGCTTCCGTCGTTGTTTCGATCGAATGATCGGAAAATTTCTCGGAGCTCGGCGATTTGCTCATCGTCGAGCTTCGCTGGTTCTTTGCTGCTCATGTTAGCAATAGAATAGTACCTGAACAATACACTCTGCTTCTCCCTCTCTCTCGTTGTGCGTATGAGTGTGAGAGAGTGAATCTATGGTGAATTATGTTCAGGAACCATTGCTCTTCTTTCAGATCAATCCAATAACAAATATGCAAATTGGGTCTCTCACAGACACAGTTCTCTGTGAGGGTATTTGAATCTATGTTCAACTGTGTCCTATACAATTGATTTTCTCAGATCAGTCTATCAAATCAATTTGTAAAGTTCATCTCTATCTCTCTCTCTGTGCTCAGAAGGTTCCTGCAGCTGATCCAATACTCTCTCTCTCTCTCTCAAACTCAATTCCCGAAAGTTTCTTCTACGGCCGATCCAAGAACATGGGTAATTTTCCCTTTTTTTTTTCTTTTCTGCCAAACACTCCTTGAATTCAGCCAACAAACATTCCAGATCGTGTCCACCTCTCCCTCTCTCTCTCACAGAGATTACTCTTCAATCTCTCTAGTTTTTCTTGGACTTCGTCATTGACCCACCAATTTCGATGGATCGTCCGAATCACGAGCAAAACATTCACGTACTATTCGGATCCAGATTGAACACACTACCTACAAGCCCACAAATCAATCGAAATTGGTGCCTCTTTTGTCTGTAAATGATTGCCGCGTAGTTGGGGGAGACTTTTGTTAGTGTTTTGAATTTTGAATATTCAATTCAACAGTGACCCATTCAGCATTTATTTAAGAGCTTTGCAAACAACAGTGACATGATAATGACAGAAAAAAAGAAAAGAAAGTGAATGGGAGTATGCACCCCGAAAGATTACAAAATTTTCAATTTTCACCTTCAAAGAACAATTATTTCAAATTACACCCCTCAATTAAATTAATGTGAAAATTGAGGCTGAATCTTTCTTAAGGGACTTGTAATGAGTTTAGTCCGTCAAAGAAATTTATTTAGAAATACGTTCATTTTTAATCTTACTAATAAATATTTAAATTCACTAAAACTCTAAAATACCCTTACTTGAAAGCAACTTTAAATTAGTTTCTTAACTTTAGAATTATTATTCCTTAATTTATTATCAGTGAGGATATGCCAATAAATTTGAAATTCAAATTTAAAGAACAATTAATATTCTCTCTCTTTTATATTATATATATATATTTTTACCATATTATTGTTCATGTTCTCAAATATTAATATTCAGTGTTATTATTTTTTTATTTTTAAATATTATTATTTTTTTGTTTAAGTATATATATATGAATAGAGAAATAAATAGTCATATTTTATAAATAGATAGATATGAGAGAGAGATAATTTTAGTATTAGTCAAACTCAAAAAATTTAAGAGTTGTTAGTTTTCAAATTTATTTTAATTAAACATAACTACTCGGGTTCATTTGGTTAGGAGGAAAAAATGATGAAAAATGAAAATGATAGAAAGTAAAGTGAAAGAAAAAAAAAATGATAGAAATATATTTTTATAAATGTAATTGGTTAAAATGAAAATTTTACTGAAAAATTTTAAAAATTTTCATTCTATTGTTTGAAAGAAAGAAAAGTTATAATATTTTTTTTTAATTGTCTAAATTACCCTTAATTATATTAAATCGGTCTAAAAAAGAAAAAAAATATGAAATTATAATTGAAAGTTAAATTTTTTTAAAAAATAGCTCGAAACTTAATTTTAAAACAATCACCAATACAAAGTTTTTTAGACCAAATTATATGATTAATCAAATTCATACCAAAAATTTTTAAAATTAATAACCAATAAAATATGTTAATAAAAATAAAAGATAAAATAGAAAGTTAGTTATACATCACAATTTCCTTGCATTTTCTTGTTTTTTACAAGAAAAAAAAGTTGATTTTCTTTTAGAAAATTCAAGTATGAAGGAAAATTATCTTTTCCATCATTTTTCTTTTCATGTTAACCAAACACATGAAAATTTAAAAAAAAAATTTTTTTGCATTTTCTATTATTCTCCTGCTAAACAAACAAATCCCTAAGAATATTTTGGATAATGAATATCAAAATAAACTTAATATTAAACAAGTTTTTTTGTTGGACTTATTACCAAATAAATTTATAAAAAGAGACCGACCTCCAAATTTTCTAAATTAATTGATAGCAATGTGACCCTAGCAATAACATTGTTGCGATTTCTATTAAATTAACAAGTACGTAAACTGCACGTGGAAAGAGAAAGAGTCATAATCTAACAAAAATCATCACGTGCATATCATATGGCTATTAGTTTAATAGAAATTTTCAACAAACATTATAGTTAGGGTCACATTGCTATTAATTAATTTTATTACAGGTGTAATTTACAATAATTATTTTTTAAAGGTATAAATTGAGAATTTTATAATCTTTCACAATGCAAACTGCTATTTGTCCCCCCAAAAAATTCGAAATCTAATAATTTTATTTCTTTTTCTTTTCTTTTTCCCGAGAAAATTTAATACCAAGTCCAAAAGGTACGGCAAAAGAGGCGCGAGTTTCGCGAAACGAGGACGTCTGCCTTGCTCTTTTAGTCGTCCACCGTTGAGACTTTGTCAACCGTTTTTTAAATTTCCCCTAGCCGGTTAAGAAAAATTGTTCTCTACTTTTGGCTCTTAGTAGTAAACGTTACAACTGGCATGTGCTAGCAAACAGACTTTAACCGCGTCATCAAATTTTGAAATTAAATTTAGAACTTAAATGACATAACGATTGATTAGTTGATATTTTTACGTAAAAATTGAAAATGAATCCCCCTATATGTACTTGTTTGAAGATAAATTTTATAAAAAAACTTATAAAGAGTTAAGTCCATATTTAAAATTATATATAATAACTTAAGTCTTTTTTTTTTATCTCAAAAATATCCTTCGTTGAAAGGAAATTAATCTTTTATCTCTCATATCTATCCATATTCATATCCATATATAGGTTAAGAGTTTGACTAACATTAAAAAATTTTATTTCTATTATTTATCTATATTCATATATAGGTTAGGTATATATACAGTAACATTAAAAAAAATAGTAACATTCAAATACAAAAAAAAAATTACTATGAATTTGAATAGTAAAATTTAAATTCATGTTACTATTTTTTTTATTATATTACTGTTTTTGTTGAGTATGTTACTGTTCATGTACTATTATCTTTGAACATATTATTGTTTTTGTTGACCATGTTACTACTATTATTTTTTTAAATATTAATATTCAATGTTACTATTTTTTTTTTTTTGAATATTATTATTTTTTGTATTTGAATGGTACTATTTTTTGAGTTTGAATTTGAGAGAAATAATTATTGTTAAGTATGTTACAGTTTTTGTTAAACATGTTACTTTTTTTTGTTTAACATGTTAATATTTTTGTTGAACATGTTATTGTTGTTATTTTTTAAAAATATTAATATTGAATGGTTCAATTTTTTTTTATGTTTAAATGTTATTATTTTTTTGTGTTTAAATGTATTATTTTTTGTGTCCAAATGATAATTTTTTTTTGTATTTGAATGTTACCATTTTTTATTTTTAATGTTACTATATATATATATATAACCTATATATAGATAGATAAAAGAGAAGAAAAATTTTAATGTTAATGAGATAAAAGATTTTAATGTTAGTCAAACTCCTAAAATTTAAGAGTTTTTAATTTTTAATTTTATTTCACTTCTAAAAGGGAGGGATAGTATAGTTAAATTGATAAAAAACAGATTTTATAACAAATAAATTTTCTTGACAGACTTAAGTCCAAACAAGTCCATATAGAAGGACCGGCCTCCAAATTTTTCTATTTTTATTAGGGCCCAAATGACATGATACTAATCAAAGAAGCCCAAGTCAACTGTCATGTCATTTAAACTCAAATTTTGATCCCAAAATTTGATAAATCTCGTTGACAAAAAGATTGAATTATTGGAAGGCTGACGTGGTTGGATAATTAGTTGGCCTAAAAATGGGCTCCACCTACATCTAATGATTACAATATAAATAAATCCTCAAATTACGTCTCCGTAGAATTGCTCAAAAAGAATAATAGAAGGAGATAAACAAATGACTCTTATTGTTATTATTAGGGAAAATAGTAGTTTGCATTCCAAGAGATTATAAAAATCTCAATTTATATCTTTAAAAATTAATTATTTTAAATTACACCCTCAATGAAATTAATTGATAACAATATAACCCCACCATAACGTCAATGTGATTTTCATCAAATTGACAGCTACATGAAAACTAATCTAAGTGATTACTTTTGTTGAATTATGACAAATTTTTCGTTTTCACGTCCGTCTTACGTGCCTGTCAATTTGACGAAAGTCACAATTCACGTTATAGTCGGTATCACATTGCTATCGATTAATTTTTTTTGAGAGTGCAATTTAAAACAACTAATTTTTGAAGATACAAATTGATAATTTTATAATTTCAAGGTGCAAACAACCATTTACCCTCATAATTATGAGAGTTCAAGTGTAAACAGTGAAACTTACACTTGTGTAGAGATTAATATTTGTGGTCCCTCAAGTATGACCTTGTCATTTTGGTGTTTGAAGTTTCTGATTTGTTTCTAAGTGGTGATCCTAAAAGATTTTAACTTTTTCACTTTTTACCCTCAGAAATTAAAATTTATACATCACATCCTACATATATTAAAGTATTATAATATAACTCTTTTGTTAGTTTTTTTGTCTGTAGCAATTGACAGACAATACACGAAAGCTGACCACACAAAACATTATAATACTTTTGATACATTCAAGATGCAATGTGAAAAATTTTAAACTTGTTTGGTTAGATAATTTCAAAAACAATTTTACAATATAGAAAATAGTAAAACTTGTTTGGACAGTCTATATATATATTTGAGCAGTAATTCAAGCATTAATAAAAAAAATATAAAAAAATTATTTTTATATTGACAATTTCATAACATATATATATGTGTGTGTGTGTGTGTATAGAAATATGTATATATATTCCAAAATTTTCAAAGATAACTCTGAAAACAAACTACACTTATTTTCTGTTTCTTTGATTCAAATCTCATTTTTTTTCCCAAATTTTAAAGAACAAAAATGCTAAACAAATAGATTTTTAGTGTTTTTAAAATTTTGAGAACAAAAAACTGTTTTGCAGACGCTAACCAAACACGCCCTTAATTTTTAAGAGTACAAAGGAAAAAACTTGAAATCTTTTAGTGTGCAATACGAAAAAGCCCAAAAAAAAATTTCCCACAGAGTTGTATCCCCTTGGCCTAATTCCAGAAACCATCCCTATGTATACCTTGAACAAATCAAATGAGGTAACCAGTTAAAAAACAATTCACCTCGTATATAATTACGGAGATACAAGTAAATATAGTACAAGTGAACCCAAGATCTATAAAATCCACATGAAAATGAGATACCTGGCTACTGATCTAGAAGAGGACTTCCTTCTTTAGCAAGCACAAAAAGGCCACCATCCCCTCTCGAAATACGAAGATCCTTGTCAAGATACGTGACAAGAAGCCAAGATGCTGCCCGCTCGCCTGGAATAGGAATCTTAAGAGGAGATTGGCCAGAAATAGATCTTGCTATACCTGCCACAGCATCTTGCAGAGGATTGACTACCTGCCGTGCGGGTGACAAATTGATCTTCTGCCCAAAAAGATCAATGCTCTCTGGAAGATCAACACTTGACTTGATCTCTGGAGGCTTCAGGGTCCCTTCCTTAAATTGAACCTGCAAATTTTAGCCCCAATAAATCAAGTGATACACGGTGATGGAAAACTCCAATCTGTTGAGAAATCAAGGATCATGCAAAAACTGATTTTCCAGCCAGAATTGTAAACATTGGAGAATCATTCTCAACTCCTAGATAAAGGGCATTCCAGAGTGGAGCCATTACATATATCATGAACTTCCAAAATAATGCGAAAATAATGAAATATGATTATTCTAGTATGCATTCCCAGGTATATTATTCACGAACTTTTCTAAGTTATATGTATGCAAAATCAAAATAATTTTAGTCAAGTTAACAAGTTTTTGAATCGCAACCTGTCAACAACTCGACATATGTCAATTGCATATGTTCAAAACATATAGTTAAGCTGTTCTAACCATATTGGCAGAATACAATTTTGATGTCAAGTTAAAGTCACCTATTTGTTTTAATTTTTCCTGAACTTTTTCATGGGAGCTGCCTCTTTGACATAACTAGGTTAAAACACCCAGGCATACCTGTATTCTTGAGGGACTTCGAACTTCAAAAGAAGCAGAAGCACTAAAGGAGAAGCTAGCAACCGGACTGGACAATGTGATGGAGTTCTCTATTGTAAGGCTGCCGGTGTTAATTTCTTGGCAAATCCTCTCAACCTTCAACAAAGGGATTGTGCCCACTGCCAGCAGAGGCAACAGCTCAGAAAATGCCGTATACCTGATCAATTAGAAATAAAATGAGCAGAGATTTGAAAAAATTAGCATTCCACTGGACAATAATACCATGTTGAAACACAAATATCTGCATGGTCTGAAGCACAATTAATTCATGCATTGGCATAGATACGGCCCGTGGCCCATGCAATGGTAGGGAGGCATACAAAAGCAGTCTGCCATTCATATATTTTGAACAAAATGCTTGCTTTTTCCATTTTCATGATTGGACATAATGATGCAGGATTGAGCACAAAGTTGGAAATGTACTAAAAATCCAGATAGAGAACTGAAGGTTTGAATTCAAAGAGATTGTGTCCACGGCCAGAAGAAGTAACAGCTGAAAAAATGTCGTGTACCTGATCAATTATATGAAAATAAGGATAGATTGAATAACAAATAGCATACCACGTCAATTCACTTCCAAGGAGTTCCTGTCTGAGGTTTGCCATTTGTTCTCGTTTATTCAAATGAATGCAAATAAACTAACCAGGAACACCGGACATTCATATCACATTGAAACACAAAAATCTGCATGATTTTACTGAAGCACAGTTTCCCCATGCATTAGCACATATGCCCTGTGGCCCATGCAAGTGGTAGGGAGGCATACAAAAGCAGTAAATATATCTGGAACAAAATTCTTGCTTTTTCCACTTTGATGATGCCCATTGGCTTTGCAGCTCCACACCTCAAAAGGATCCCCAGCCTATTTTTGTTTCCTCATCCTTACTAAATTGTAGTTAATATAGATAGACTGATGGGCATAATCATGCAGGACTAAGCACAAATATGAGAATGTACAAAAAGTTCACCTAGATATACTTAGTACTGAAGGTATGAATTCAAAAATGACTGGAAATATGACTTGGAGGAAAGAAAAACTAGATTCCAATACTTTTCTTTAATAGATGAAAAACCAGATCATGATGCTTACCACAATATTCACATCATACTACCAGCCCAGCAGAGTTTCCTCCTCTGGCAGTTCATTTTTTAGCCTCTTTTTTGGGGTTCTTTTATGAAAGAAGAGTAATGCATGCACGTTAAAATATTATCTTCACACCAGCATGTGTTGCCTTGTCCAATCATACGTTTTTACTTCACAGCAATTACTCAACTGTCCACCACCTTTTTGAATTTTTCACAAGAATATATTATGCACATTGCATGAGAGGACAAGATAGTAAGAAAAGTTAGTAGGGATGTAGATGATTGAACTATTCATGAACAAGTGGGCTCAGTCAAGCAAAAGGCTTGCTCAAGCTCATGCATAAAACAAGTGAGTCGAGCTCAACTGTTAATTTAGACATGTTAATTAATGAACATGGCTTGCTCCAACATGCAAACATAGTGGAACGGGCAACTTTATTGTTTGTGTAATTATTCCCTACATGTGCCAGGAAGAGGTGTGCACATACATAATCATTTGCGTGAATCCAAGTAATAGTTTGCATAGATTCCATGCTGATGTCGTCCATGTCATATCCTCAGTCATGACATTATGTGTTTGAATTTACATTTGAAGTTGGAACAATCACAAACAAGATAAACAGGGCTGCCGCATAAAAGTACAGGATATCTAAGACGCACTCACTCAAATCTAAGCCGCTAGGCTAGCGAGCCTAACAAGTAAATGCCAAAACAAACTTAA